AAACCATAGTGTCTGACTGTACCCTATCTTAACAGAGATAAAAAACCATAGTGTCTGACTGTACCCTATCTTAACAGAGATGTAAAACCATAGTGTCTGACTGTACCCTATTTTAACAGAGATATAAAACCACAGTATCTGCCTGTACCCTATCTTAACAGAGATATAAAACCAGTGTCTGACTGTACCCTATCTTAACAGAGATATAAATCCACAGTATCTGACTGTGCCCTATCTTAACAGAGATATAAAACCATAGCGTCTGACTGTACCCTATCTTAACAGAGATATAAATCCACAGTATCTGACTGTGCCCTATCTTAACAGAGATATAAAACCATAGTGCCTGACTGTACCCTATCTTAACAGAGATATAAAACCAGCGTCTGACTGTACCCTATCTTAACAGAGATAAAAAACCATAGTGTCTGACTGTACCCTATCTTAACAGAGATGTAAAACCATAGTGTCTGACTGTACCCTATCTTAACAGAGATGTAAAACCATAGTGTCTGACTGTACCCTATTTTAACAGAGATATAAAACCACAGGATCTGACTCCCTATCTTAATAGAGATATAAAACCATAGTATCTGACTGAACCCTATATTAACAGAGATATAAAACCACAGTATCTGCCTGTACCCTATCTTAACAGAGATATAAAACCACAGTATACTGTACCCTATCTTAACAGAGATATAAAACCACAGTATACTGTACCCTATCTTAACAGAGATATAAAACCACAGTATCTGACTGTACCCTATCTTAACAGAGATATAAAACCATAGTATCTGACTGAACCCTATATTAACAGAGATATAAAACCACAGGATCTGACTGTACCCTATCTTAACAGAGATATAAAACCACAGTGTCTGACTGTACCCTATCTTAACAGAGATATAAAACCAGTGTCTGACTGTACCCTATCTTAACAGAGATATAAAACCAGTGTCTGACTGAACCCTTTCTTAACAGAGATATAAAACCAGTGTCTGACTGTACCCTATCTTACCAGAGATATAAAACCCGTGTCTGACTGTACCTTATCTTAACCGAGATATAAAACCAGTGACTGACTGTACCCTATCTAAACAGGGATATAAAACCATAGTGTCTAACTGTACCCTATCTTACCAGAGATATAAAACCGGTGTCTGACTGTACCATATCTTAACCGGGATATAAAACCAGTGACTGACTGTACCCTATCATAACAAACCAGTGTCTGACTGTACCCTATCTTAACAGAGATATAAAACCACAGTGTCTAACTGTACTCTATCTTAACAGAGATATAAAACCATAGTGTCTGACTGTACCCTTTCTTAACAGAGATATAAAACCAGTGTCTGACTGTACCTTATCTTAACAGAGATATAAAACCACAGTGTCTGACTGTACCCTATCTTAACAGAGAAATAAAACCACAGGGTCTGACTATACCCTATCGTAACAGAGATATAAAACCACAGTATCTGACTGTACCCTATCTTAATAGAGATATAAAACCACAGTGTCTGACTGTACCCTATCTTGACAGAGATATAAAACCATAGTGTCTGACTGTACCCTATCATAACAAACCAGTGTCTGACTGTACCCTATCTTAACAGAGATATAAATCCACAGTGTCTGACTGTACCCTATCTTAACAGAGAAACAAAACCATAGTGTCTGACTGTATCCTAATTAGAGAACTGTGTTTTTCCCTACCTGCAGTTACCTTCCCTTGAGGGTCTCTGTCCCATTGCACTGTGTTTTTCCCTACCTGCAGTAACCTCCCCTTAAGGATCCCTGTCCCACTGCACTGTATTTTTTCCTACCTGCAGTTACCTCCCCTTGAGGGTCTCTGTCCTATTGCACTGTGTTTTTTCCTACCTGCAGTAACCTCCCCTACTATCTTAACAGAGATATAAAACCATAGTGTCTGACTGTCCCCTATCTTAACAGAGATATAAAACCATAGTGTCTGACTGTACCCTATCATAACAAACCAGTGTCTGACTGTACCCTATCTTAACAGGGATATAAAACCATAGTGTCTGACTGTACCCTATCTTAACAGATAAATAAAACCATAGTGTCTGACTGTATCCTAATTAGAGAACTGTGTTTTTCCCTACCTGCAGTTACCTTCCCTTGAGGGCCTCTGTCCCATTGCACTGTGTTTTTCCCTACCTGCAGTAACCTCCCCTTAAGGATCCCTGTCCCAACACTGTGTTTTTTCCTACCTGCAGTAACCTCCCCTGAAGGATCCCTGTCCCACTGCACTGTGTTTTTTCCCACCTGCAGTAACCTCCCCTTAAGGATCCCTGTCCCAACACTGTGTTTTTTCCTACCTGCAGTAACCTCCCCTTAAGGATCCCTGTCCCAACACTGTGTTTTTTCCTACCTGCAGTAACCTCCCCTTAAGGATCCCTGTCCCAACACTGTGTTTTTTCCTACCTGCAGTAACCTCCCCTGAAGGGTCCCTGTCCCCCTGCACTCTGTTTTTCCCTACCTGCATGCAGTAACCTCCCCTTGAGAATCACTGTTCCATTGCACTGTGTTTTTTCCTACCTGCAGTAACCTCCCCTGAAGGATCCCTGTCCCACTGCACTGTGTTTTTTCCTACCTGCAGTAACCTCCCCTAAAGGATCCCTGTCCCATTGCACTGTGTTTTTTCCTACCTGCAGTTACCTCCCCTTAACCATCCCTGTCCCATTGCACTGTGTTTTTCCTACCCTAATTAGAGAACTGTGTTTTTCCCTACCTGCAGTTACCTTCCCTTGAGGGCCTCTGTCCCATTGCACTGTGTTTTTCCCTACCTGCAGTAACCTCCCCTTAAGGATCCCTGTCCCAACACTGTGTTTTTTCCTACCTGCAGTAACCTCCCCTTAAGGATCCCTGTCCCAACACTGTGTTTTTTCCTACCTGCAGTAACCTCCCCTACTATCTTAACAGAGATATAAAACCATAGTGTCTGACTGTACCCTATCTTAACAGAGAAATAAAACCATAGTGTCTGACTGTATCCTAATTAGAGAACTGTGTTTTTCCCTACCTGCAGTTACCTTCCCTTGAGGGTCTCTGTCCCATTGCACTGTGTTTTTCCCTACCTGCAGTAACCTCCCCTTAAGGATCCCTGTCCCACTGCACTGTATTTTTTCCTACCTGCAGTTACCTCCCCTTGAGGGTCTCTGTCCTATTGCACTGTGTTTTTCCCTACCTGCAGTAACCTCCCCTTGAGGATCCCTGTCCCATTGCACTGTGTTTTTCCCTACCTGCAGTTACCTCCCCTTAAGGATCCCTGTTCCACTGCACTGTATTTTTCCCTACCTGCAGTTACCTCCCCTTAAGGATCCCTGTCCCACTGCACTGTATTTTTTCCTACCTGCAGTAGCCTCCCCTTGAGGATCCCTGTCCCATTGCACTATGTTTTTTCCCTACCTGCATGCAGTAACCTCCCCTTGCGGATCCCTGTCCCACTGCACTGTGTTTTTCCCTACCTGCAGTAACCTCCCCTTGGGGATCACTGTTCCACTGCACTGTGTTTTTTCCTACCTGCAGTAACCTCCCCTAGAGAATCACTGTTCCATTACACTGTGTTTTTTCCTACCTGCAGTAACCTCCCCTTAAGGATCCCTGTTCCACTGCACTGTGTTTTTTTCCCTACCTGCATGCAGTAACCTCCCCTTAAGGATCCCTGTCCCACTTCACTGTGTTTTTTCCTACCTGCAGTAACCTCCCCTGAAGGGTCCCTGTCCCCCTGCACTCTGTTTTTCCCTACCTGCATGCAGTAACCTCCCCTGAAGGATCCCTGTCCCATTGCACTGTGTTTTTTCCTACCTGCAGTTACCTCCCCTTAACGATCCCTGTCCCACTGCACTGTGTTTTTCCCTACCTGCATGCAGTAACCTCCCCTTGAGAATCACTGTTCCATTGCACTGTGTTTTTTCCTACCTGCAGTAACCTCCCCTGAAGGATCCCTGTCCCATTGCACTGTGTTTTTTCCTACCTGCAGTAACCTCCCCTTAAGGATCCCTGTTCCACTGCACTGTGTTTTTTTCCCTACCTGCATGCAGTAACCTCCCCTTAAGGATCCCTGTCCCACTGCACTGTGTTTTTTCCTACCTGCAGTAACCTCCCCTTAAGGATCCCTGTTCCACTGCACTGTGTTTTTTTCCCTACCTGCATGCAGTAACCTCCCCTTAAGGATCCCTGTCCCACTGCACTGTGTTTTTTCCCTACCTGCAGTTACCTCCCCTGAAGGATCCCTGTCCCATTGCACTGTGTTATTTTCCCTACCTGCAGTAACCTCCCCTTAAGGATCCCTGTCCCACTGCACTGTGTTTTCCTACCTGCAGTTACCTCCCCTTAACGATCCCTGTCCCATTGCACTGTGTTTTTCCTACCTGCAGTTACCTCCCCTTAATGATCCCTGTTCCATTGCACTGTGTTTTTTCCTACCTGCAGTAACCTCCCCTTAAGGATCCCTGTCCCATTGCACTGTGTTTTTTCCTACCTGCAGTTACCTCCCCTTAAGGATCCCTGTCCCATTGCACTGTGTTTTTCCTACCTGCAGTTACCTCCCCTTGAGGAACCCTATCCCATTACACTATTTTTTCCTACCTGCAGTAACCTTCCCTGAAATTCCATTTAGATATAACTGTAGCACCATTGGGCTAGGACAATTCATTCCATCTGGTAGCTCAATCAGAAGTTCAAGCTATAGTCCAGTAGTCTTGAGTTCAGGGTTCTAATCCCAGTCTAGCCCATCGGTCTGGAGTTCAGGGTTGTAATCCAAGTCTAGCCTCCGGTCTGGAGTTCAGGGTTCTAATCCCAGTTTTCTTTTTAGAAATGATTTATCAAAGCTCTAGTCATTCCGTAACAAAGTTTCCAATACTTATAATGACAGTTTTTGGCAGTGGGATCCTTAAGGAGTTCAGGGTTCTAATCCCAGTCTAGCCCCTCGGTCTGGAGTTCAGGGTTCTAATCTCAGTCTAGCCCCTATGTCTGGAGTTCAGGGTTCTAATCCCAGTCTAGCCCCTCGGTCTGGAGTTCAGGGTCCTCATCCCAGTCTAGCCCCTCGGTCTGGAGTTCAGGGTTCTAATCCCAGTCTAGCCCCTCGGTCAGGAGTTCAAGGTTCTAATCCCAGTCCAGCCCCTCGGTCTGGAGTTCAGGGTTCTAATCCCAGTCCAGCCCCTCGGTCTGGAGTTCAGGGTTCTAATCTCAGTCTAGCCCCTCGGTCTGGAGTTCAGGGTTCTAATCCCAGGATAGCCCCTCGGTCTGAAGTTCAAGGTTCTAATCCAAGTTTTCTTTTTAGAAATGATTTATCAAAGCTATAGTCATTCCGTAACAAAGTTTCCAATACTTATAATGACAGTTTTTGGCAGTGGGATCCTTAAGGAGGCAATGGAATCATAACCCAAGATCACAACTTAATTAATTCACCCCTGAAATTTCATAGAGATCTATTCAAACCTTTGAATTGGAAGGGTTCAACTGTGTCTTCAGGGGTGAATGAGTTGATTCACTGCAGGCAGTGGTAAACAACAAAACAGCAAAACAATAAAATACGACACAATCTCACTAGAATTTCTGTGCTGCCCTATCAAGGAATGTTTTGATGTATTGATGTAAGAGGTTACTACGTTAAGGACACCCATACCACTACCAATCTCAAAATTATGGAGAAAAAATCAATAAAAAGAAGAATCCACAGCAGTATTTTCATTGTAAAGTTACAACTCGGCAAAATGAGGATTCAAACCCTGAACCTTTGATCATTATGCTTTCGCTCTAATGAACTGAGCTACCTAATCAACTGAAGTTACCTAGCCCAGTTGCGCTAGATTTATCCAAAATTAAATTAAGGAGAGGTTACTGTTTGTGCAAAAGAACATAATGGAACTCTCCACTGTTTAGCCTGCAGTGTGACAGGGACCCTTAATGCATTCATGATCACCCCTACATATTTAAACTGGACTTGCCCAGTCTTTGAATTGGTAAGGTTCAAATGAGACTTTAGGGTGAATGGGTAAAGAGATCATTTTACAGCTGTAAAATTATAACATCTGCTGTCATAACTTTAAAAGGTAGGCTGTTTGGGTTTAGAAGAAAAACTCAAACACTGGTGCCATCCGTTGTCAATTACCCTCATCCTCCTTGCTTATTCCAACGCCATGTGTTGGGTCAAGTTTGGAAGTAAGCACAAAATACTGTTTTTATGTTTTCTCTAATTAGTAGATCTCCTGGGATTATCACAGAGAAACTACTGTAATTTCTGCCTCTATTGCCACTGTTGACCCTCCATTTAACAGTGAAGGTATCTAAGTTAAACATCAGAATTAACCAGTCACTTGATTGTACATATATATATATAACAGATGCTTACATTTTATGAGTGGTTATAATAAGAAAGGTTCTACAACCATTGTTCATCAAATTTATCACAAGTAGGCAAATTTAGAAAATTTCAGATAGAAACAGTGAGGTTGTTAGATTTGACACCATACAGAAATATTTACATTTGTGTTGTAGTGCCTCTAGATAACACTACCAACTCAAAATGTTTTTATGATTCAATAAAAGCAAGTGTGTAGTAATATTAACAGTACTACATGTACCGTTACATGACCTCTGACCCCCCAACACACACACACACACACACAAACAATCCCAAAACAGAACAAATTGTTTATCAACAGTTGAAATATATGTAAATATATTTTAATAATCCTTTTTTTTATATTATCAACAAGAAATCACCCCGCCTTTTAAAGAAATTGAAGTCCACATACTCAGCGTCTAAAATATGTCGTGTGCTAACTACAGCCACAGACATGTCATTTGTAACGGACCCCTGTGCTCCAGGACAGCGACGTCGCGGACGTTGTCCCTAGAATATGGAATTATTGTGGTTTTGAATCAAGGCACATCATGTTTGTGTCGGGCAACCGAAGCATGTCTGCTATAAGATCTATAATAGACCCTTTTCAAAAGAACAGAATAATTCACTGTCCTCTAGAATCTACACTAACGTCCGTTGCAAGTGGCGAAGCAGGTGAAATCGTCCTGGCTCTTCGACCAGTCCCTCATCGATAGTAACACATGCCGAATGTTCAAACGATGTCAGAGTTAGTCATGTTGACACAAACGATCGACATAAGAGTTTAGCCAACAGCATCTTTTAAATGGTCATCTGGTTTCTTCGGAAACTCTACATTTCATGGACGCACTTTCTATCTCGTTGAAAGTCAAACCGCTTCGTGGCCTGATGAGCGATGTCGCTGCAAAACAGGTTTTTAACGGTCAGCTATCTCCGCAAACACGGAATAAATTTCTTACTTTTTGCAACTAAAATATTTTACGGGTTTTTTTGTTTTAAATTAAGATCTACTGTCAATTTTTAAGATAATCAATGGTTGTTAAACATGCTGGGGATATAAATTAAGTCAATAAAAAATATGCAAAGTGGAACTATTTGTTTTATTGCTCAACTGTGTATTTCGTCACCGTTGACAACGCATCATCTTTCCCGCGAAAAAAGGCTGTTCAATTCATGTTGTTCTCATGACGGTGTTTTGCCTTTTAACATGAAAAAAAGACTATTTTTTCTTAATTTCAAATAATAAAAGTGGATGCAATAGAATGTAAATGTAAGTTTTGAAATACAGTTGTGTTGCATACCCTCATAAATGTTAAAAAGATGCATTTCAAACCTTTAGTGAATCATTTGAATAAGTTTTCTATCACTAACCGGCATGTCTCCAGTTTTTAGCCAGGAGAGATCTGTGAGTGAGCTTGTCACCCCTATGGGCAGATAGCTTTGTGCAGAATATACAGCACATGCCAAATTGTGACATAATAAAAATGAATGGCGATCATGACGTCATAAACAGGTGAGTGGCGATCATGACGTCATAAACAGGTGAATGGTGATCATGACATCATAAACAGGTGAATGGCGATCATTCATACACAAAGTATGACTACTGTAGGTTGAGTTGTGACTGAAATAATAGGATGGTAGAAAAATAATCATCCCCTGTCTTGAGGGTGAAACAGTTATATCCAACCCTCGGGTGATTTGTTTGGTTGTCTAACCCTCGAAAGAGCCCTGGTTGGACGACCAAATAACTCACCCTCCGATTGAAGATTGCTCTGTCACACCCTCAAGGCAGGGGCAGATTCTATTTGTCCATAAATATGTGATGTCAAAGAAATTCTGAATGTTCAATGAAGTATATGATGTGACATTAATTTAATATTTGTTAATTTAAGCTAAGAAAATAGAATTGCTGCTGATTCAAGTCTAAGTAATTTCTTGATTTCTTAGCAGATTTTCCCCTTGCAGATGAACAAGATTGAAATGTAACTTTTTAATCTTTGACCTGAAAATTACAAAACTGAAAATAAATTGCCATTCTCAGGATCAATCTTAAATATCTAGTGATGGTTATTTAGATTGGCGTTCCATTTCCAACTCTCACTGCCAATTTGATTCGGGATATTTCAGGGAAGAAATTATCTTGATGGTCTTTTGTCCTTTTGGTCCGACATCTGGCAGGGAGAGACGACTGTATCTCTCTAATTGAGATATTTTTAAACTAACTTTATTTCCCTAATTGAGATCAATGCTCATGTCCTTTCCTCTTGCCTTTGCTAAATACCATCCCATTTTTTTTAAATTGAAATGAAAAAAAAGGTGCAATAGAAACGTTTTTTAAGTTTCCTGTGTAATGATAGAGATAGCTAAAGAATTAAAGATATGCTCTAACAACAGTACAGAGAGAAAGAATGCTCTAACAACAGTACAGAGGGAAAGACATGCTCTAACAACAGTACAGAGGTAAAGACATGCTCTAACAAGGTTACCGCAAGCGGTATATAATACGCCCGTCACACATTGAATGAGCAGTTGTTTGTATGATTGAAATATATGAAGTATTTGTGAGTAATTGATATTGAAAGAGAAATCATTCAACATAACTGGTAGATCAATGAGTGCAATTCAACATCATGGAACACATGCATCGCATTAATGAAACCAAGGGGAATAACTCCAATAATTACGGTCGGATAATGGCGGTTATAGACGTTGTCCGAGGTTTCATGGTAATTAACCTTGGTGTGAAGTTTGAAGTTAATCTGTTAATAATTACTCGAGATATCGAGCGGACACTGCTTGTCCGAGGTTTCATGGTAATTAACCTCGGTGTGAAGTTTGAAGTTAATCTGTTAATAATTAATCGAGATATCGAGCGGACACTGTGTCGGCAAGTCCATAAAGGGGCATAACTCCACAAATTATGGTCGGATAATGGCGGTTATCGAACTTGTTCGAGCTTTTATGGTAATTAACCTTGTGGTGAAGTTTGAAGTTAATCCGTTAATAATTACTTGAGATATCGAGCGGACATTGTTCGCATGCCCCCCCCCCCGCCAGCCCGCCCGCCTGGCGGGCGGGCGGGCATGCTATAACAACAGTACAGAGGTAAAGACATGCTCTAACAACAGTACAGCGGGAAAAACATGCTATAACAACAGTACAGAGGGAAAGACATGCTCTAACAACAGTATTGATGGAAAGACATGCTCTAACAACAGTACAGAGGGAAAGACATGGTCTAACAACAGTACAAAGGGAAAGACATGCTCAAACAACAGTACAGAGGGATAGACATGCTCTAACAACAATACAGAGAGACAGACATGCTCTCACAACAGTACAGAGGAAAAGACATGCTCTAACAAAAGTACAAAGGGAAAGACATGCTATAACAACAGGACAGAGGGAAAGACATTCTCTAACAACAGTATTGAGGGAAAGACATGCTATAACAACAGAACAGAGGGAAAGACATTCTCTAACAACAGTATTGAGGGAAAGACATGCTATAACAACAGGACAGAGGGAAAGAAATGCTCTTACAACAGTACAGAGGTAAAGACATGCTCTAACAACAGTACAGAGAGACAGACATGCTCTAACAACAGTACAGAGGGAAAGAAATGCTCTAACAACAGTACAGAGGGAAAGACATGCTCTAACAACAGTACTGATGGAAAGACATGCCCTAACAACAGTACAGATGGAAAGACATGCTCTAAGAACAGTACAGATGGAAAGACATGCTCTAACAACAGTACAGAGGGACAGACATGCTCTAACAACAGTACAGAGAGACAGACATGCTCTAACAACAGTACACAGGGAAAGAAATGCTCTAACAACAGTACAGAGGGAAAGACATGTTCTAACAACAGTACAGAGGGAAAGACATGCTATAACAACAGTACAGAGGAAAAGACATGCTCTAACAACAGTACACAGGGAAAGACATGCTCTAACAACAGTACACAGGGAATGACATGCTCTAACAACAGTACAGAGGAAAAGACATGCTCTAACAACAGTACACAGGGAAAGACATGCTCTAACAACAGTGCAGAGAGAAAGGCATGTTCTAACAACAGTACACAGGGTAAGACATGCTCTAACAACAGTACACAGGGAAAGACATGTTTATACAAAATTGGTTCCCCTTTACCCAAGGATGCTTCAGACTAAAAATGGAACAAATCCTTTCATTCCTACAGAAGAAGAAGTATTTTAAAGAATTTGCTATATTTCTCCTATTGTGCCCCGCCCCACAGCCCCCAGGGGAGATACAAAATTTGTTCCCCTTCCACTAAGGATGCTTCTGACCAAATTTGGTAAAAATCTGCCCAGTCGTTTATGACTAGTAGCGATTTTTAGGAAAAGTTGACGGACGCCGCGCCATGGCATAAGCTCACTTGCACTTCGGGCAGGTGAGCTAATAAACTACCATTACTGGCTCAGCTAAGCCATATCACAACATTTATGACGAGAGTACATCATTTACTGAAATCACCAAAAACAGTCATTAATTTTTGAAGGATAGACTATTGTAAAATGTTGGTTTTTGTCAGGTTTGATCATAATTTGCACTCACTGGTTTTGATTCTAGCAAAGATGTAAAGTCCACTTCTGATTAAACTATTTTGATTCTCATAGATGTGAAATCCAATGTTGGTTTTAGTTAAACTAATGTGGTAAAAATAAACAGGCAGAAGAAAGGTGATCTCTATAGACCGGTTTTGTCAGTATGGTAGAAATAAACAGACAGTGTAAAGATGATCTCTATAGACAGGTTTTGTCAGAATGGTAGAAATAAACAGACAGTGAAAAGATGATCTCTATAGACAGGTTTTGTCAGTATGATAGAAATAAACAGACAGTGAAAAGGTGATCTCTATAGACAGGTTTTGTCAGTATGGTAGATATAAATGGACAGCAGAAAGGTGATCTCTATAGACAGGTTTTGTCAGAATGGTAGAAATAAACAGACAGTGAAAAGATGATCTCTATAGACAGGTTTTGTCAGTATGATAGAAATAAACAGACAGTGAAAAGGTGATCTCTATAGACAGGTTTTGTGAGTATGGTAGAAATAAACAGTTAGTACAAAGGTGATCTCTATATACAGGTTTTGTCAGTATGGTAGAAATAAACAGTTAGTACAAAGGGGATCTCTATAGACAGGTTTTGTCAGTATGGTAGAAATAAACAGTTAGTACAAAGGTGATCTCTATAGACAGGTTTTGTCAGAATGGTAGAAATAAACAGACAGTGAAAAGGCTATCTCTATAGACAGGTTTTGTCATTATGGTAGAAATAAACAGACAGTGAAAAGGGGATCTCTACAGACAGGTTTTGTCAGTATCGTAGAAATGAACAGATAGTGAAAAGGTGATCTCTATAGACAGATTTTGTCAGAATGGTAGAAATAAACAGGCAGTGAAAAGGTGATCTCTATATACAGGTTTTGTCAGTATGATAGAAATAAACAGTTAGTACGAGGGATAATCTCAGGTTTTGTCAGTATGGTAGAAATAAACAGTTTGTACAAAGGTGTTCTCTACAGACAGGTTTTGTCAGTATCGTAGAAATGAACAGATAGTGAAAAGGTGATCTCTACAGACAGGTTTTGACAGTATGATAGAAATAAACAGTTAGTACAAAGGTGATCTCTACAGACAGCTTTTGTCATTATGGTAGAAATAAACAGTTAGTACAAAGGTGATCTCTACAGACAGGTTTTGTCAGTATGATAGAAATAAACAGTTAGTACAAAGGTGATCCCTACAGATAGGTTTTGTCAGTATGGTAGAAATAAACAGTTAGTACAAAGGTGTTCTCGCCAGACAGGTTTGGTCAGTATGATAGAAATAAACAGTGAGTACAAAGGTGATCTCTACAGACAGGTGTTGTCAGTATGGTAGAAATAAACAGGTAGTACAAAGGTGTTCTCTACAGACAGGATTTGTCAGTATGATAGAAATAAACAGTTAGTACAAAGGAGATCCCTACAGATAGGTTTTGTCAGTATGGTAGAAATAAACAGTTAGTACAAAGGGGTTCTCTACAGACAGGATTTGTCAGTATGATAGAAATAAACAGTTAGTACAACGGTGTTCTCTACAGACAGGTTTTGTCAGTATGATAGAAATAAACAGTAGGTACAAAGGTGATCTCTACAGACAGGTGTTGTCAGTATGATAGAAATAAACAGTGAGTACAAAGGTGATCTCTACAAATAGGTTTTGTCAGTATGATAGAAATAAACAGTTAGTACAAAGGTGTTCTCTACAGACAGGTGTTGTCAGTATGATAGAAATAAACAGTTAGTACAAAGGTGATCTCTACAGACAGGTTTTGTCAGTATGATAGAAATAAACAGTTAGTACAAAGGTGTTCTCTACAGACAGGTTTTGTCAGTATGATAGAAATAAACAGTGAGTACAAAGGTGATCTCTACAGACAGCTTTTGTCATTATGGTAGAAATAAACAGTTAGTACAAAGGTGATCTCTACAGACAGGTGTTGTCAGTATGATAGAAATAAACAGTTAGTACAAAGGTGATCTCTATATACAGGTTTTGACATTATGGTAGAAATAAACAGTTAGTACAAAGGTGATCTCTACAGATAGGTTTTGTCAGTATGATTGAAATAAACAGTTAGTACAAAGGTGATCTCTACAGACAGGTTTTGTCAGTATGATAGAAATAAACAGTTAGTACAAAGTTGGTCTCTACAGAGAGGTTTTGTCAGTATGATAGAAATAAACAGTTAGCACAAAAGGTGATCTCTACAGACAGGTTTTGTCAGTATGGTAGAAATAAACCGTTAGTACAAAGGTGATCTCTACAGACATGTTTTGTCAGTATGATAGAAATAAACAGTTAGTACAAAGGTGATCTCTACAGACAGGTTTTGTCAGTATGGTAGAAATAAACAGTTAGTACAAAGTTGGTCTCTATATACAGGTTTTGTCAGTATGATAGAAATAAACAGTTAGTACAAAGGTGATCTCTACAGATAGGTTTTGTCAGTATGGTAGAAATAAACAGTTAGTACAATGGTGATCTCTACAGACAGGTTTTGTCAGTATGGTAGAAATAAACAGTTAGTACAAAGGTGATCTCTATAGACATGTTTTGTCAGTATGATAGAAATACACAGTTAGTACAAAGGTGATCTCTACAGAGAGGTTTTGTCAGTATGATAGAAATAAACAGTTAGTACAAAGGTGATATCTTTAGACAGGTTGTGTCAGTATGGTAGAAAATAACAGTTAGTATGATGGTAATCTCAGGTTTTGTCAGTATGGTAGAAATAAACAGTTAGTACGAGGGATAATCTCAGGTTTTGTCAGTATGGTAGAAATAAACAGTTAGCTCTATAGACAGGTTTTATCAGTATGTTAACAATATAGTAACTGTAGGCAAATGATTTATAAAGTCAAGCTTTGACTTTTGTTATTTAGATGGTAGCTATACAGACATGTGTGAGGCAACTTATGTGGCCTCCTTTCAAATTATTTTTTTCTTGTGCTTAAGGGACATTTCTAACCAAAAGAGATATACATCTTCTTTATTCCACACTTTTTCTATTATGTTGATACTTCTGTGTCTCTCTTGGGCATATTTACCCGTATTCTTCTATGTGGCCCTGTATACCTTACAGTGTTGATGGACCGTTACAACACTAACATATATCATAAAAACAAAACAAATGGTGGCTGTGCAACTGTAGCTAGCTTAGCAATATAGGTAAATAACAAAACTAGAAAACACAGTTACTAGCACTTCTGTTCCCCTTGGTGGTCGTTAGTTACACTAACTGAATTTTAAATAAGACATCGTTTTTAAACAATGAACATATTTAAGACATCAACAGCATATTGTACATAAACCAGATCTGTGTAACTGTTACAATAGGAACAAGGCAATCCATAGTCCCTCAACAGTCATGATTTACTGAGCTATACACCAATCTCGGGATATTCCGTCTTTGCATATTGCAGAGTTATCTTCTCTTGTGAGCAGGAATTGATTGTTACGTCATTAGTTTGTGTGAGAAAATTATGTCGTTTTCTCAAAATTGATGACGTTACTCTCGCAAACCAATGACGTAACAATCAATACCTGCTCACAAGAGAAGATAACTCTGCAATACGCAAAGACAGAATAGTCCACAGTGTCATACTTCTTGTACTCCGCACTCTCCCAGCCAAGATAATTTTAAAATCAGAATTTACATAGTGTATCCTAAAAGCTTCACTTTTCAATCAATCAAAACCAATATGGATCAAGTAAGATTTTAAACAAAAAGCCAATAGAATTCTTACTAGATACATTGTATAAATCACTACACAGTTAAATCTTCTCTAACAGCCAATCAGGTCTTTTTAAAGACTCTAAAAGTACGAACGCTAGATCCCATAATTTTAGAGAGCAGGGTAATTGACGTTAGAGCTGTACGTGGCGCCGCATACATCCAGGACAATTGAATTTCAGGACTGTCCCTTGTATCACTGATTTGTAACATAGACAAATTCCAAAATTTAAACTGGAGCCAATCGGAAACCCTGAAAGAGCCACATATAACCTTAAATGAAATTAAACGACAGCTAAATGTATATATATATTAATGTCTGTGAGATTCCTGAACACGTAAGAATACTTAAAGATGGTGTACAAAGTTCAGGACTGAAGCCATTACTAGATTGTTTTTGTTTCAACATGATGACTCACAAATGCGGCACCAAAACGAGCTAGTTTTGTCGCACAGATGTAACAGCCCCAAAACAAGCTAGTTTTGTCGTTACAGATGTAACGGCAGCTAAACACCACTCTTTCCACCAGACAGACTTCATTAGCCACCAATATATACAATTTCAAGTTGAGGTTTCACATAGCTATCTAACTGATCAGAAATCAATGTTTTGTCGAGGAAAGCAGAAGTTGAATCCCTATGTTATCACCCTCACATAATGTGTAAATGCAGGTTTGGGGGGGGAAAAGGGACTGAAATTCACATTGAATTTTCAAGAAAAGCAACATTTTCACAGTGTCGGTTAAACACTGTATCCCTGAAGAAACCATTAGCTGCTGT